GCTCTTCTGCTGAGAGGCTGGCAGAGTTGTATGTGAGGGAGGTGGTATCGCGGCATGGAGTGCCGATCTCGATTGTGTCAGATCGGGATGTAAGTTTCACTTCCAGGTTCTAGAAGAAGTTTCACGAGGAGTTGGGCACGAGGCTGCATTTCAGTACCGCTTACCACCCACCGACGGACAGAAAGAGTGAGCGGACGATTCAGACGCTCGAGGACATGCTTCGGGCATGTGTGTTGGACTCCGGGGGGGAGTTGGGACACGTATTTGCCGTTGGATGAGTTTTCCTATAACAACAGTCACCATTCGAGCATTGGTATGCCTCCCTTCGAGTTGTTGTATGGGAGGAGGTGTCGGACTCCCATATGTTGGGGAGAGGTAGGGCAACGAGTGATGGGCAGCACTGAGATAGTGCTTCAGACGACAGAGCGGATACAGCAGGTCAGGCAGAGGTTGTTGACAGCTCAGAGTTGCCAGAAGAGTTACGCGGATAGGCGACGATCCGAGCTCGAGTTTCAGGTTGGAGACTTCGTACTCCTGAAAGTGTCTCCTTGGAAAGGAGTGATTCGATTTAGGAAGAGGGGCAAACTGGGGCCCCGGTATATTGGGCCGTTCAGGGTGACCGCGAGGGTGGGCAGGGTAGCATACCGGTTGGAGCTACCTGCGAAGTTGAGTCAGATATATGATACCTTCCACGTGTCCCAGTTGAGAAAGTGTATAGCCGACGAGTCGGCGGTGGTACCATTGGAGGATATTCAGGTGGATGCGAGCCTGAATTATGTTGAGAGGCCAGTCGCGATGGTGGATCGGAAGATCAAGGTTTTGAGAAACAAGGAAGTGCCACTGGTTATGGTTTAGTGGCATTATCGAAAAGGGTCCGAGTTGACTTGGGAGCCGGAGGCGGAGATGCGGAAGCTACACCTAGAGCTGTTTGTAGAATGAGACTTCGTGGGCGAAGTCTGATTCGAGTGGGGGAGAATTGTAACATCCGGATTCCTAGGTATCTTATTTTAATTTTTATCTTGAGTTTTATGGAGGGACTCGGCGAGTAGACGTTCAGACTCGCCGAGTAGGATCGCGAGTTCTTGTCTGGATTAATGACCGGACTCGACGAGTCGATGAGTGGACTCGGCGAGTCCGCGCTGTTAAGTGAAACCCTAAATCTCAGGGTATGAGCCCTATTTAAAGGCCCTTATGGTCGTCATTTGCGGCCACTACTCCCCTGTGAAAACCCTAGAGAGAAAAGAGAGCTTAGAGAGCATTTTGGAGGCTAATTCTTCATCCTTTGGTGTGATCTTGCAAGAAGGAGTGGGAAAATCCAAGCTAGATCAATTTTGGAGCTTGGATCTGTGTTGTTCACACTGAGATTCACGTTTTGAGGTACAAGTTCCTTCCCATTTCGTGTATTTGATAGATTCCTTGAATCTAGGGTTTCCTTTGCACAATTTTGAGTTAGATCGTGAAGCATATGAGGTCCCTTTGGGTATAGATGATAGATCTGGACCTTGAGAGCTCCAAAAGGTCCCAAGCTTCCAGATTTATGAGGTTTCATGTGAGCCTTGAGAGTATAACCCCATTTTAAAGGTTATTTCTCCATTTTTGGTCTTATAAGCATTGCATGAACGTAAAGTTTGAACCTTTACGTGACTTTCGAGTGTTAGAAGGTTGGATCTACTGGTTGGTGAAGCAGATCTGACCTCAAATGATCGTTTGAGTGTTTTCATGGAAGGAACTCGCCGAGCCCATAAGGGACTGAACGAGTCGAGTCGGGTTGCCCCGCGATTCGCGACCTGTGATAACCCGATGAGTGTAGGGTTGACTTAGCGAGTCGAATAAGGACCAGGGGCGAAGAGGACATGCATGAATTCGCCGAGTCACACGAGTGCACTCGACGAGTCTGGTCAAAGTTTGACCGTTGACTTTTAGGGTTTGGTCAACAATTGGACTTGTGGACCATTTGAAGGGTAAAATGGTGTTTTAGCCTTCTTAGAGGACATGGAAGAGACTAGTCTAGCCTGGAGAGCCGTTATTGAATTGAGATAATTGTTTATGTGTTTAGGCGGATGCTAGATCAGGGTATACGTGTGCGAGATTATCCGAGATAGCCGAGGTGAGTCTTCTCACTATACTGTACCTAGAGTGGTACCTATGTGTGACCGGAAGGTCTTGTATGCTATGAGATGTATGTGCTATATGCTGTTATGTGATATGTATGTGTTATGTATGTTATGTATGATAAGGACCGGAAGGTCAAGATGACATGGACCGGAAGGTCAGGAGGTTACGTATCGGAAGGTCGATGCGGGTAGGACCGGAAGGTCTACCGGCATTCGGGACGGAAGTCCCCTGAGACACTTGGATCGGAAGATCCTGCACAGTTATGGCCTGGAAAGGCGTATGTGTTGTATGTGGTATATTGGGGAACTCACTATGCATTTATGCTTACAGTTGATGTGTTATGTGTTTCAGGTACTAGCGAGGATCGCGGGAAGGCGCCGACATGATCCGTACACACTTATAGAGATTATGTTTTGAGATTTTGGGATTTGTTATTATGGTGACATTGGATACAGTTTGTTTGATATTGTTTTTGATGATTGAAAATATGATTTAAAAATGAAAAATTGTTTTGAAAATTTACGTTGTTACATCATAACTTCCTCTTATGAATTCATATTTGAACGTTCTCTATATGTACGAAATCCTTGTCATATATACTATAACTTTGGTTAAGATTCTTTATCCAAAATGTCATTTTTAACGCTTATTATGACTAACCCAGATATGCGGGTGTTACAAAAAAATATAGAGAATTTATATTATATAGATCATTAAAGACCACCAATGAATGGATATAGTTTGACACAGATCCATTCGGTCTATATGTTAAGATGTAATCCCAATACTATTTAAATTTCTTTCTTCTACTTTTCTCCTCTTTGTTTCTAAAATTGGTGGATGGTTAATGGTTCTTATCATGGTTAAATTATTTATTAAGAAGAGTGTATATAATGGCAAGGTTATCCAGGATGTTGAATATGAAGACCTATGCAAAGTTGTCCAATGATATCTATCAGATACACTTTGTAAGATTTCAATAAAATGGAAATAAAATATATCTTCAATAAACTAAATTTTTAGTCCATCCGTGTGTTACTATCATTTTTAAATATCTTGTACTTATATGGTCGTTTTGGCATTTGATTAAGGATTACATTACAAAGGTAATTCACTTGTTTAGGATAAATACAAAAAAATAGCATTGTACTTTCATTTATTTGTTTATTCTAGCATCTTACTTTCAATATTTCTTTTATTAAAGGATCATACTTTGGAAACCTACCAAGTTTTAATATTGTAATTAATGAACGTAGGATGCGAACCATTAACTTATAGTACATTGCTACTGCTTTCGTGATTGTAATAAATATTAGAATGTGGTTTCGTTTGAAGGAAACTATTTTGTCTACCCTTAATCTATATAAAGTTTCATTCGAATCTTTAGATAAAGGTGCTAAAACATCATTAGGAGAACTAGAAACCTATTGCTTGATGCGGTCATTATGCCCCTCTGTGAATGATGAAATTATGAACAAACTTTCGAGACTAATTCCATAGCTCCTTGACTAGATTCTAAAAAATTAAAATTTTAAAAGTTTTGAATTATTTAAGTGTAATGAGAAAATCATGATGATTGTGACTTTTAATGCAAAGATTATTTAGATATTTATGAATGTTATTCTGTTTGATATATTTATTGTGTGAAATGAGTAGCCTTTACAAGAGATCGAATGCAGGCATCGTTCGTTTTTCTCTTCTCCAAGCTCTAGATTGATATATAAAGGGCAATTCTAATGTTTATTGCATGTCATTAAACATAATGTCATTTCATTTGCCAACTAATTGTATACCTAATGAATTTGGTCGCCTCTAATGAGAATCGAATAAAAGCGTAAGTTCGTTGGGGGTTTTTCTGGACAAAAGCTTAAGTTAGTTGGGTTTTTTTTAACAGATAAAACGTGATTGGGGTTCTTTGAACGGTTTCGAAGCTTTGTTGGTCTTACAAATGATTTTCCCGATATTTAATTTCACATCATAAGTAATGTCATTCGTTGACTTTTAATAATCGGCTGACCCTAGCGAGAGTTGAACAAAAGTGTAAATTAGTTGGGATTTTTTAGACAAACGGTTACGTTCGTTGGGTTTTCTTGAACAAACAAAACATAATTGTTGTTTTTTTAACTGTTTAAAAGCTTCGTTGGACTTATAAGTTATTTTCCCTGTCTGATTCAATTTTGTAGGTTATGTTTTGTACGTCTCATGTATCTAATGGTCATATCGGTAAATATCCCTAAATTTTTATAAACAACTGTTCTCCCTTTATTTTTATTAGAGTAAATTACACGAATGGTCCCTATGGTTTGGCGTAATTTACTATGGGACTGAAGCCGCAACGAAAAGATACTATGGGACCTTCCGAGTGAAAAAAATAAGTTAGGAACTAAGTGTGCAAATTGACCCAAAACCATCGGTGTAATTTAGTCTTTTGATTATGTTTTGGCCGACTGGTCAATTTAATATATTATTGTACAGGCAAATCTAATATATTCAAAGTTATTAAGAAATAAAACTAATATTGTGCCTTACTATTAAAAGTAGAAATGGACCACTTATTAGTTTTTCTGTCCTTCCATTGGAGTTGGTTTTAATGGTGGTCTAGCTACGTTAGAAAATATCTAGCTACGTTGACTACCAAGTCTAGTTTGAAGGATTCCACTCCACTCCTTTTCAATCATAGTCCTCCACAGTTTTGCTTCATCCGCTACAATTGCTTATAAATCACGGAATATTGGCCATGGGGGGGATCACACATTTACTTCTGCGACTTCCTACGTACTCTTTGAATTTTCAACGCTACTTATGATTCAGAAGTCAAAGTTGTTGACAAATGAGTTGCCTTATATATAGCTGCACGCGGTAATCGGCAAACAAAAAAAACTGTCATGGTTTCTCCAAATTGGGTGTTAGTTTTATTTCAGTTTTATATTCTTACACGTCTTTCTGGTGTCACCGTTACCCGTGGTGACCATGTGTGCGGAAGCCGGGGAAACTATACACAAAACAGTGCATATGAAAAGATCCTCAATCGTACGTTATCTGCTCTACCTGAAGCACCTAAGGGAGATCGTTTCTTTTACAATTACACATCTTCAAATCCTTCACAAGACCATGAGAACAGCACAGCTTATGCCCTTGCACTATGCCCTGGAGACATTCAAGATGAATCCTGTCTGGGATGTGTGAAGTCTGCAACTGAAAGGCTTCGACAGGATTGTCCTAAGCAAATCAAAGCTACAGGTTGGTATTACGAAAGATGTATGTTCAGCTACTCTAATACAAGCTTTCATGACATGGTTAATTATGACGATAAAGATGTTCTATCCTTTCCAACAACAAGTTATATCACCAACTGGAATATTATTTCAGTTGCTGAGACCCTGGAGAACTCCTTCAAAGAGTTACAGGTTAAAGCAGCTACTGATGGTTATAGTAAAAGATTTTACTCTGAAGTTAACATTTTACCAAGTTCTAGGGGCAATATTGAAGCGACTATGCAATGCATTCCAAATATATCCCACAGCAAATGTGATGAGTGTTTGGGTAACGCTACTGATTATCTAGGAACATCTTATAATGGAAGTGCTGAAGGAGTAGTTTACTACCGATATTCATGCTTGCTAAAATACCAAGTATATCTTGTCCAAATTCCACCTTCAGGTTCATTGTGTTTTTCATTAATTATATTTATCTTCATATTAAATTATAGACATTAGTTTGGTGATGCACAAAACGTTGGTTTTTGATTTTGATATCTTTGATCAAGGGAAAAAAAGAACAAATGTCATCGTTCCAGTAGTAGTAGCAGTGGCAGCAGTAACATTGGTCATCTCGACCTTCTTTATTTGCCTAAAGATTGGCAAAAACTGCAGTAAAAAAGGTAAATATGATTTTAAAGAAAGTAGTATATCACGATATACAATCACCCATCTATTTAAGAGTGTAATAACAATCTTGGTGTAGGTGAAGAGGAAGAGCCGCTTCAAGCATCAGACGATGACACTGGGGAAATTATTTACTTTAGACTAGATGCAATTCAAGCCGCTACTCATAATTTCTCAGTTGCAAATAAGCTTGGAGAAGGTGGTTTTGGTCCTGTTTATTGGGTAATAACCAAAACTCTTTAGATATATATATATATACTGGTCTCTTTTCTTTTGCCAGTTTACATATTCTCAAACATTTTTTTTAACTCAGGGAACGCTCTCCGATGGTAAAAAGATAGCAGTGAAAAGACTTTCACAAAACTCAAGTCAAGGAATGAATGAATTCAAAACAGAAGTAAAACTAATAATAACGCTACAACACAAAAATTTGGTGAAGCTTTTGGGTTGTTGTATGAAAGGGAAGGAAAGGCTCCTTGTTTATGAATACATGTCTAACAGTAGTCTCGATAAGTTTCTTTTTGGTTCGTTCTCCACGTCTCTTCTGTATTTCTCTTCGATTATTATAGACCATGTTAACGTTATTTATTTAATTATGCGTAACTTAGTTTACTTATATGATAGAAGATCCTAAAAAAGCAAAAGAACTGGACTGGGCTAAGCGTGTCAATATAGTGAATGGAATAGCAAAGGGTCTTCGTTATCTTCATGAGGACTCTCGCCTCAAGATCATCCATAGAGATCTCAAAGCTAGCAATGTTCTATTAGATGACGAGATGAACCCAAAAATATCAGACTTTGGCACTGCGAGAATTTTTGGATCTAATCAAATCGAAGCTAATACTAACCGAGTTGTTGGAACCTAGTAAGCCAGATATACACATTATAAAAATTAATATATTGAACTATTCAGGTTTTATGAATTAAAGTTTGTTGTGAACCTTGGACAGTGGATACATGGCACCTGAGTATGCAATGGAGGGGTTGTTCTCCATCAAATCTGATGTGTACAGTTTCGGTGTTCTTCTTCTTGAAATTATATCCGGGAAAAGGAACAGCAGGTTGTTCTACGAAGAGCATGATCGAAACCTTCTCTACTATGTGAGCCAAATCCTTTTCATTACTTTCTTCTATGTATATTTCCATTAGAAGAACTTCAATTTAAAAGATTTCTCACTTTTTCAAGAAGTGGCTAATTTCTAACAATATATCATATTAATTTTACAACTGAAGGCATGGATGTTATGGGAAGAAGGCAAAGGAGAACAACTGATAGATGAAAATCTGAATGATGATTGTCCTGTCGATGAGGGTCTCAAATGGATGCGTATTGCTCTCTTATGCGTTGAAGAAGATCCAAACAATCGTCCCACCATGTCTTCAGTTGCTTTTATGCTTGAAGGTGAATGGAAATCCCTCTCTGATCCTAAACCTCCCATGTCTTTCGGCCAATTTATGACCTCTGACAAATCTTCGTCAACTTGGAATGGCGATGAATTTGGGTTTCATTCATTATCTTTAGAAAGTAAAGGCATCGGTGATCATTGTGTGTAGTGAATAGACTGACCGTTTTATTCTTTTGTATAGATATACAATCAAGTGTATTCATTAAACATCGAATAGATTCAACTCGTAGAAAAAATATCCTGAAATAATGTCCTAGCTATAGATATTATTGTATAGCAATTTGTATCTTGTGTACCACATTTGTCTTAGCCAACCCATTTGACCGATTCATTACAATCATTTGGATCACTACAAGTACAACATTTTAAAAACTGTCCTACAACTTAAATTATAAAAATCAATTAATTTCAACTTTTTCCATATATTGTTGTAACATGATCGACATGTGGCAACGCGACACTTGTGAGTTGTGACTTGTTCATGAGGAAACAATAACATGGAATTTTAAAAAAGAGCTTGTAAGAAATGGCATTTTTCAAAAAAGAAAAATAAATTGGTCAGTGAGAAAGCTAGTAAAATTTGGGTATTAATTAATATCTTGACACATGAATAATTTGTCTATTTCAATTTTAATCAACATTGTTTTACGTAGAATGAATTGCTAAATGAGAAACCTTATTCTTCTTGTTTGACGGCTGGAATTTTTTTGAAAATCTATGTCGTATGCCCGGAAATATAAATTAACGTTCTATTCCTACTAAACAAGTCTTTGTTGAACACGACGCTTTGTAATGTCCGGGATTTATAAGGTATTATTCTTACTTATATAAGGTTAATAGTTTTAAAAATGTTTGGGGTTAGACCTTTGGGCCCTTGTAACTGGGTTGAGGAAGCACCGTACGTGGAGTGTACCTTGCCATATATGCTTATCGTACTCAAGAGATTGGAACGCGGAAGCCATGCACGTACGTCGAGCGTACCAGAGGGTACACACAACTTACGCATGCAAATTCTAAAACCCTAAATTTTAGGGTTTGATCCCTATATAAAGGACCTTATGCCTTTGGTCTAGCCTCCCTCTCACCCTTAGACAGCCACCACAAAAACCCTAACCCATATTTGTGTGTTCTTGTGATTTGGTAGCCACTTGAGAGCATTTTAGTGTTGTTTTGGTGTTTTGGAAGAGAAAGAAGTTTGAAGAAGGAGCAAGGATTCAAAGGGAGCTTGTAGATCCAGGCGATTTGCACCATTTCTGGCTCATTTCAGGTATCAAGCTTCAAACTTTATCATTGCATGCTTAGATTTGATGATTTTGGGGTGTTTTATGTCATTTTTGGACTCCATTGTTGAGGTTGCTTGAATCTTGATAGTTTCAGACCATAAGTGTTGTCCTTTTGAGCTCTTAGAAGCACTTAGAGTCATAAAAATTGGACCTTGATGGTTAAGCCACAACCATGCAAGTGTTTAATGGTCACATAGTTTGGTTAAGGACCAAAATCATGTTTTGACCCCCAACCATGCATGCAAGCACATAAAGTTTATGACTTTATGGACTAGGATGTCTTAAAGGACATGGATCGACATTTTGGACGTGAGGACTTAATGGATTAAGTCACAAATGAAGACCCAAGGATGTTGGCCGGTACGACGGGCGTACACTGTCGCACCCCCAAACCAGAATGGCGGAAACATTCGGGGGCGGAGGACTTTAGGTAAGTATCACAACACATGCAATATAGTAGTCAAAGTACAAACAACCACTGTATTAATAAGTATAACTTTTACATAAGTGTTTAAACATTACATATTCAAACACTAAAGTAGGTACAACAAAAGACAAGAGTCGCGGTACGGTACTAGGTAGTCTTCTCAAAAGCTTCGGGAGTGTACCTGCCTACTAGATTCCTGAGAATACAAGTTATTTGAAAAGAGTAGATCAGCATTTAAGCTGGTGAGTTCATAAGTATTTTTGTTCTGTTAAGTATACCCTAAGTTCTTTGAATAAGTTCACTGATTTCTCCAGGAAATCCTATATCTCCTGAGGTGATTAACTGATAACCTCAATAGTTTCCCTCTGTAATTACCTAGTTTATACTGATTATACATAAGCCCACAACCAAACAAGGAATAGGAAGTAAGGCGGAAGTCACACATTTCACTGTCAATCGGACCTTACTTATGTACAACTCTGATGTAGCAACTTAGGAATTATAGAATTAACCACTAAAGGTCTTTTATGTTATACTAGTTTACCGAGATTGAGTGACTAAGTTCCATTGGATAAGTGGTTTAATCCCATAAACCGTTCTCTTTGTATTACTGTTTTGTATTTGTATTCCTTTATGAAAACTTGAAACTGAGAGTGTGCCTGGCTCCACCAGGTGTTAATGAAAACTGTATTAAACCATTGTGTTTTTGTATTCTATAAACTGGTACTTTGAAGGTGTACTTTCGTTTATTTGTTTATACACTAACGTATTATTATTACCTTTTTAATGATTAGTTTTTATTATAACCATACTATGACGGATGGCCTGAAACGAACGCTTTGTGGGCGTTTAAACTGGTGATAACAATTGTCACTCATCAAATTGTAGCTAGCAGCCTGAGTGCGGGGTTGTCAATTCCCATATAGATCTACACACACTTGTTTCAATCCCCGGCTGGAGATTCTGATTATAATGTCAGGAATTCCTATGTTGTCTAAAATGAATTAAACAACCTGAATATAGAGTCTCATAAAAAGCATATTAAACGTTCATGTATATTAGTTTTGAAAACCCAATCATTCGGAAATAATGATTGACAGTATATTCTTGAATTAAAACCCAATCATTCGGAAATAATGATTGATAGTATATTCTTAGTTTTCCAAACATGTATTTGATAAGTGTAAACCCTTGATTTGTTTTGAATCAAAACCCTGGTTTCTTGTAAAACAGTGTATACTAGTTTACTTGAATTATGAATTATTACCTCGTGTTTGCTAACTCGGGTACTCTGTATAGTACATTTGCTAATGCAAACCCAGCAGAATGTATCTTTACTTCTTTAATATGTTATTCATATATTAAAGGTATTATACATATCTTGTTATATTTGAATGTATTTTGGTAATTTCTTGGAAAGTATACAGTCATGAATCATACTTGTATATTTAGTTTGAGTCATAATTATACATATTATAATTTATATGTTCTATCGGATTAGCATGAATTCTCATGGATGAACACCTTTGCTCAGCCTGATACAAAGGTGAAGATACCAAAAGGAGTAACCTTTTGTACTAATATATGTATAATATATATATAATTAAGAAGGAAACGACCTTCGGACAAATAATACAACCTTAATTCCACATCCAAACAAGGAAAAGAAAATAAGATAATTCATTAGTCCTAAGTCCTTCAAATCTTATTTATATATTTATACATATATAAACATGACTTTGGCATTTATATTTTGAAATAGTTTATAAAACATTTTTCAAAGAATTTAACATGGTTTTACGTTATTTTGGAAGTATTTGATAATTCTTAAAAGCATACGAAAACTTTATGTGTGATTATTATCACACACAGTTATTAACACAATTTAATATTGTGTTAAACTTGTATTCCCCCCCCCCTAAAAGCATTTATAAACAATTGAAGAGGTAAATTATAGGGGTATGAACTCACTTTGATAAGCGGTGATTCGGGCAACGTTTCGTTTCCCGGAAAAGAGTTTGTTTGACGAAAAACCGGCTCCAATCGGGCAGAGTTTCGACAGGAGAGAGGATGAATTCTCGAGAATTTCGGGGCTCCGGGGCTTGCTTCGGGTTTTAGACGCGTTACCGTGGCTTTGGGGGTTGTTTGTGAAGTTATGGAAGAGAGAGGAGTGAAAAAAGGGCCAAAAATGGGGTGAAAAACCCTTCCATCCGAGAAGGCTCGCACCCTTTATATAGGGGTGCGAGGGCTCGGCCGAGGAGGACAGGTGGCGAGGCGAGAGGCGAGTCAGCAGCCACGCGTCGGTCAGCAGCGAAGCCACGTGCGAGAGGTGTGTTCCGGGGTGTCCGATGCGAAGGTGTGGGCTCGCTCCTACTGGACCGCGCTGCGGTCCAATCCGATGCTGACACGGCGATTTGCGGTCCAACCCGAAGGTGACACGTGGCAGTTCGCACGTGCTTATGACGTGTCCGAAGAGTGACCTGCGAAATTTCTCGGTTATCCACAATTTCTCGATTTTCGTGCCAAAAACTTGCAAAATTCATAACTTTCGCATACGAGCTCCGTTTTTGACGTTCTTTATATGCACGCGTAGGTAAAATCATACTCTACAACTTTCGTTTAGACTTCGTCAGCTGATTTTGAATTTATTTTTAATATTATTATTTTAAACAGACCGGGACGAGAATCCGTTAAAAATTCATAACTTCTTCATCCGACGTCCGTTTTCGCCTGTCTTTTTACCGTTGTGCTACTTTTGACGAGACCTTCGATCCCTCGTTTAAGTTGCGTCGGCTAAATATCGATCGATTTATATTTCGAATTTTTAGCTGCCTACTGCTAAACCGAAACTTCGAAAAATCATAACTTCCTCATATGAAGTCGGATTTTCACGTTCTTTTTTATGAACGTTCTCGGTTTAACATATTCTACAAGTTTCATTTAGATTGTTAAGGCTAAAAATCCTTTTATCGAAAATTCGCTTTTTACACTGAACAGTGTTTTGCCGGTTTTACCGCGGATTTTCGATTGGTCATAACTTCTTCGTTATAACTCGGATTTCAGTGTTCTTTATGTTTTTGGAAACCTTGTTACAAACTCTACCACTTGGTTCATCCCAATTACGATTATTGATCAATTTATTTTTGACCAAAATTTGACTGGTGTCACATTATCCCCCCGTTAGAGAGAATTTCGTCCCGAAATTAAGTCTAAAGTGATACTCATGGACTAGGTCTAATCTTTCCTTCCCAAGTGAATCCAGGTATCTGGTTTGTAATCCAGCAAACCTTCACTAACGGGATAAGACTTAGCGTGGTTCTTCAGATTTCCCTATCCATGGTTTTTATTGGTTCTTCTACAGAGTGTAGACTTTTATTTAACTTGATTTCATCGAGTGAAATAACAAGTGTTTTATCGGATAGATACCTCTTTAGATTTGATATGTGAAAGATGGGATGAATGTTATTAAGTTTTTGTGGTAGTTTAAGTTTAAAAGTACAAGACCGATTCTGGTAAGAACCTCAAATGGTCCTATGTACTTTGAGTTTTGTATTTCATGCTTTCTCAAGCGCATATTGTCCTTCCTGAGTGAGACCTTCATATGACAGGGTCATC